TAAACTAAGTAAGAAATGACCTGTTGCTAGAAATGGCTGTGACTCTAGTGGCAAATATATCTTTTGTCTTTCAGCCTTTTGTTCCCAATATCGTTTACGCCAACGTATTCCGTAGTTAGCGCTATGCTGTACCTTTTGGAAGGGCTCCAAGCGAACCGTCACGTGTACCCACGTGCGTCGTTTCGGTAAATCCTTTAACATTGCTTGTACTTCCACCATCGTTGCTTTACTTGCTCTATCCGGTTAACGGCCGGCCCCTTTGCGGTTTCGGATAACCTAGCCGAGAGCTGCCGTCTCGATCCCGTCACGAAAGTAGGCTGCGGTGCGGTCTTAGACCTCATATATAAATTCTCCTATTTGTGGACAAGCTTAAAATTAGCCTAGATAAGTAATAGCTGATTAAGTTTTAACTTTTAACCAGCTATTACTTATCGACAGGCGAGTTTAAGATCGACTCCGCTTTTGACAGTACGAGTGTTACAGACAGACTGATTAATTCAACAGATAATAATAAACAATTAAAAGCTTTGATGAGTACGATGATATTGCGTTTCATTGGTGTTGTTCTTTAAATAAATATAACTAGGATCGACTAAAAGATATCAGTAGCATTAGCAATCTCCGCACGAAGCCGCGTATTATAGTCAACATAATGCCGGATGTCTATCGAAATTGCTTAGTTACGATTAACACGATTTTAATGCCTTTAGAAATCGCCGCTTACATTCTAAACTCATTACACACGATATTTATCATTGCGCTCTGTACGTTTCGTAAACGGCTAATGTTTCTTAAGACAATGTTTATGGTTTCTTACGTACAATGTTTCTGGGATATCCGATAAATGTTTAGGTTGCGTAAGTTTTAAAAAACAACTAAGCGGTAAAACTTAGTTTTTTTTAATGTGAGAAGTTGACAAGCGAGCTGGCGGTTTACCTGATGTTAAGTGATAACCGCCGCACACATTTGCATTAGTATAGACACTATGTTGATTACGTGATAATAAAATTGGAATGAAGAGTCCGACCTCGAGACTGTTTACTGTGCTCACAATTTTAATCGCGATATGAAAGTCATGTACAAGTTGTTAGCTTTCGCTTTTGGATTTATCCACGTCACCACTGAAACGTTAAATTTTCTTTTTTAAACATTTTAAATATGTGTTAAACCAATCTACTCTTTAGAGCGTAAACAAAAAGAGCGCCGTCTTAAAGGGCGAACGCAAGCAACCGTAGTTGCCGTATACATGATGTGAATATCTATATTCTGAGCCTAAATTTGTTAGTCGTTGGGACCTTGCAAGCCAGCAGCTTGCCATATAATCTTATCGTTCCCGCCCCACTTAGAGGCGTCGTAACGTCATGCAAATCAACTAGATCGCTGCATCTTAGCATTGGAGCCATTTAACCCTATAGAGCGCTTCTGTATAAAGAAAGAAGTATAAATGTAGAGGAAAAAAGAAATAATGAACGCTACATGAATGAATGCATATGAAAATTGTCATAAATTTAGTTTGCATGTTAAAATAACTTCATTTAATAATAGGAAATTTAGAGCTTCAACTTTTGAAAAAAAAGTAACTTACATTTTTCTATGAAAAAATAAATACGGAAATAAAAACAATATTAAAAGTTGGCTTTTAACTTCTGATAAAGATCATATCCAAAGATACCAATAACTTACAGGAATATTATACTTTGGTATTAGAGACTGATATATGGGCGAAAATCCTTTTAGTATAATAATTATTATACAATAAATCTATAAGTGCACTTTATTTTACCCTCTGCAACATTTATGCACGTAACACATAAACATATACAAACGGAAAGGAAAGACATCATTGCCCGACAATAAATATTCAATATTTGATTTTTTTTTGCTTCATATATCAAAATATTTAACACTTACGAACAAGAAATTGTACATCCAAACAGCCACAAGAACTGCCAAGTAATATACATTTTAGACGATTCCATAAGCAACTTGAACGGGGTGGGGCGGGATGTATGAACGCGACGTGAATTTCGCGGCGAATTGGATTAGCGTCGCAGCCGCCAGCGCGCCGTAATGTTGAGCGGCATGTTCGAGGAGGAATCGGTAATTCAATTACGTCTGGCTTCCGAGCCCAATTGGCTGCCATTGATGCCGTTTTATTTCCCTGCTTTTTCGGCCTGCATGCCGTCGCGAAGTCGTGCTTCAAAAACTTGAGTGGACCGTTCATGTAGTGAGCGGCATTTTAACATGTTGAAGTGCATTATGATTTATATATGTATTGGTATAGTGATGGGTTTTATTTTATTTTAATATTCACCCGTTTAGCATTATTAGCTACAAAATGTAGGTAAGTTCTCTATCAAGCAGTTTTTTAATGTTAAATTTAATCTGATGCGAAATACAAAAAGTTGAGAAGATGAGTAAACAGCGCTTTGAAGCAGTACTTTATAGTATAACCCTGTTTTATAATGCCTTTAAGGCAGGAATTAAGGATTACCTCTAAACGATAGTGTCACCTGCTAATATTATTGTATAGCGATTGGGTCGCGTGATACATCTTCGTTCGGCGAAACAACCGACGCCCATAAATCTGGACTAAGGGAATTGAAATTAAAATCCTATACCGTATCGCGAATAATAAATATTGGGTTTTTTCGGTGAAAAATGTCATTTCGATTTGAGTGCTTTGTTTCGGGCGTCCGATCGCGTCGCACGTTTTTCTAATTTAGCTGGATTTCCGTTTGTATCGTGTGCGTTGCGGGATATATGGGCACGTACGACGGATGACGTGTGTTTCAAGATTTTGTTCTTTATCATCAAACAGCGTTGCGGTATTTTTCATTTGGATAAAGAAAGTAACGGTCTGAGGCAAACGGCAAAAGTATGTGTATACGTCTCGTATTGGCTGTCATAATGAAAACTTTATTACTCAATAAGGCTTTCATTGCAGTCGTCTATATGTTCTACTGCTAGACAAACGTCACATGCCCTTGTAATCCTTGCTATATAGATACGGTGGGTATTAGGACTTACCGTAAGCCTGGCACGCCACCTTACTGAATTGGTAGATTCATTTTATTTATTTAAACATGCTGTGCATAAAGCACAGACTAGTACAAAGACGGACTTAATGCCAATGGCATTTTCTACTAGTAAACCTCAGCGTGGTGTAAAGAAAGTGAGGGGAAGGAGTCACTCATTTTCGAAATGTTTTTAATATTATTTTTTAGATATTTCTTCACCGCCAAACATGGAGAAAATTCGCAATTAAAATTGCACTTGACAATTTATATGAACAAGTCGATACTTTAGATAATGAGCTAGTACTTATATATTCGGAATCTGAATTTCGTAATCTAAAGCATTTGTAGTAACAAAGGCACCAGATTACGAATACTTGCTGTAGTCTCAGGGTCATCTAAAAAAACACATTATTTATTTTTAAAATAACTTCGAACTAGGTTAAGTTTGACTAAAAATCAATGTCCCTATCAAAGTTTCTTTCAAACTCTCGAAATTTTCACAACCGTGTTCGTCTCTGCGTTACAATAATATTTACGTCGGCGTGTTGCACTGTGTATTCTCTTGTTGCAGTGTTTAATTATGTTACAAGTCCACTGTATGAAATCAATAATCAATGTTCTCATAACGCAAATATTGCTTCTAACGGTCAATTAAAGCCAAGTACTCAACGGGAATAACCGCGCACGTACGCTATGTAAATAATAATCGACTGAACAATTGATGAGAGCGATGAGAACGCTTCTACTATCAAGTGCTTAAGGTTCTCTGAGAGCTTTGTTATGCATATTCAACGTTGACTATTTCAACTAAAAAGTTTTATTTACTAAAAAGTTGTTTACTAAAAAGTCCTATTACAGAAGTTATTTTGACGGGAAATAATTTTTTATAGGGTTAGTTTCTGGATTTCACTATTTTTTTAGGAACTAACTTTTTATGCCTTTGTAAAATAAACAAATTAAAAATGAGTTACTTGAATAATAATAATAATACAATAAAAATTGACATTTTCATTAAGTAGATATAGATTGATAAATAGCTTTTGTGATTCATGCTATTTTAATTGTATTTAAGCGCAGATGGCCCGCCCCCACTTTACACGCGTTGACAAATAAAAGTTGCGTTAAATATTCCCCTATTACTACCTGCTGCTTTCCTCCTGAGTGGGGCTAAGACAAATATTCGAGATGACTCCGTGGCGCAGTTGCCAAGATATTGGCTTTTGCGTCGAGGGTCGATGGTTTGATTCCCACACGGGACAACTATTTGTGTGATCCACAATTATATGTTTCGCATCTGGGTGTTTGTCCGCGTGTAGTCTATATTTCTAAAAAGTCCACAAGACTTTCTTTGTTCAGTCCATTATTTTGTGGAACGCGCTGCCTCTCAAAATCAAGACTGCTAAAAGTCGCTCCGCATTTAAAAGGAAAACTCGCGAGCACTTCCTTAAAAAACTGTCAGCAGATTCTCTGAATCGTTAAATATAATATAAAGTATATATATATTATATTTATTTATTTATAAAATATGAGTATGTAATATGTTTACTTTATTTTATATATATGTATGGTATTGTATAGTTTTATCAGATATTATTAGTGTAGTATTTTGTTGGTAGATTTCATATGTAATGTACTTATTGGAAAATCTTTTGATTGGTTTATTTTTTTTCTGTTGTTGTAAATTTGTTATTAATGCACCTACCCTAACTTTTCTGGACCACCCCAAGGTTGACTGGGAGATAATGCTGATGGCATTAAGTCCGCCTTTGTACACAAATGTTTGTGCAAAAAGTTTAAAAAAAAAAAAAAAAAAAAAAAAAAAAAAAGACAGGATAAATAATGTTACCCTAAAGTAAAGGCAATGTTTTTAAAAACAAAAAAATAAATAAATCGTGGTATTTCTTTTTTATTGTCATCGTGCCTACCTCCTTTTCTATTGTTTATTACGGTTGCTGTAGAAATAAACGTTCTTGTTTACAGGTGACGCGCTGCGGAGCGGTGGTTAAAGCGGCTTTGCCGCTTTAAATGGACAAACGCAAGATGATGCCAAAGAGAGCGCGTATGGATAGCATGCGGGGTCCCATCGCCAATGGACCCCTGCAGTCTAGGTGGGGATCCTTTCCTATAATTTTTTTTTAATTTATTTTAAAACTTCCATTTTTGAATATGATTATGCCGTATTATTGAGGCATATTACAAGTAGTAGATGAGCTAAATTATACATCAACTATCGCCTGTAGCTCAGCTCTAATGCTCTTCGAGCCATGAAACTGTTTTATATCTCTTGAAATCGTCTTTAAAGGTAGGAAAAAAGAAACGATGGGAACAATACTCCGACTGCCATCGGGGTCTCGGTCCGCACCGCAACCTCGATGGCCCTTAGATGACATGCCGTAGTTAAACGCACGCATGAGCACATGCGCGGCCCTACTACCCACAGCGGAGGGCCCAAACCCGTGGGCTCTGGCTAGCCTACCGGTTCTGCGTCAGATGAAGCTTTCATAGTCTCGGGACTGAAAACACAAACATCAGTTAACAAGATACTCCGACTGTGAAAAGTAATTATAACTTGTGTACATAGTGATAAATTTTAAAGTCAGTAGTCAAGAGAAGAAAGATCGAAGGAGAAAACTTTTTTTCTTGTTAAATAATTTTCAAAGGTAAAACTTTCCCCTTTAATAAATTCTCGAAGAAATTGAATATAGCTCAGTTTGAATTTCATAACTCGAGGGCCACCCGAGCTTATTTCGCCTGTAGTAATTTTTAATTTGACATCTTTTTAATCATCCAGACATTTTTTTTACCGACTTTTAAAAAACGGTGGAGGTTATCAATTTTGATGTTGCTATTTTACGTAACGAAGATTTTGCAAAATTCTTATTTGTTCTAATGGGATTAATCCTAAAATGGTCCCATTTTAGCTCCCGTTTTTAGGTCCCGTTTTTTAAACTTCATATACATCTGATGATGAGTTTCGGACACACACAACGGAACTCAGACAACGGAAAAAATGCCAAAAATCAATCGCGATTGCTGCTATCGCAAAACATTGCATTGTTTACGCAATTACACGTAATTAATTTGCACCGTTATCCAACAGCTTAATTACCTTTATCATTGTACCCTAAAGGTTGACACTATGTTTTATGCATTTACTATTCTATTCTAACATCACGCCTGTATACTCGAATAGGTTACGCAGATGTATTCAGTATATCAGATTACATCGATGTTTTCTTTCAAAGTATTTGCATATTTTTTCGCGGCTGTTAGCCAGTTGTAGCACATATAATTCACCCTAGATTTATAAAAAAAATATTTACTGGCCAGATTGACTTTGAAAATACACTAAGGATGATGCAATAAGTTCACGCTATTTTACCATTTCTGCCAACGCCCATTCATGATGCGTCCTGTTGAGTCATTTATTTGTCTCTAAACCGCACTAGGTAGGGCTTTAGGTACGTAGTTTATTCCCCTAATTCTATGTCAGCTTTATCCAACGGTGCACCTTATAATTTGTGAAGTGTAACTGCCCAGCTCTACATTGCCGTATCCTCTAGTTGCCTAAAATGTGTCTGTTAGTGACGATATTGCTATACAACAGTGTCGTCATCAAACTTTATAATATCTAACCTAACCTAACCTAAACCTAACCCAAAGCAGGCAAAATATTTTTTTTAAGGATGGGCATCCTTAAAAAAATTATTTTATATTATAACCCCAAAGGAAACAGAAATATTTCACCTCATGTGATTCTATCCCTTTTTCTACTGTTGATAAAAGGTTATTCATATCCTTAGGATTAACATTACGAAGAGGCAAATTTCGTTGTGTTGAAATTTCACTAGATTCAACGGCAGCATTAATTGTGTAAATATGCTGTATTTTCGCGTTCTCAGGTATCGTATGTGCATTGTAAGCAACTAATTGTCTGTGGGATAAATTCGAACTGCAACTCCATCGGCCAATTTTTCTATCAACGTTATTAACTAACTTGAGGTTCGCAAAGCAATTTAAGTTGAGCTATTGTCAATTCGCCAAACACTGTGTAATGGTAGTAAATGAAATGGCAAAGAAATCATGCCTTTTAATGTACTTAAATATTTGTTTATTATGTTTTTAGTATTATTTGTTATAGCGGCAACAGACATATATCATCTATGAAAGTTTCAACTGTCTAACTATCACGGTTCATGAGACACAGCCGAGATACAGTCAGCGGAGTCTTAGTAATAGGTTGTCTTAGTCCTGTTTCACCCTTTGGGTACGGAACGTAAAAAAAAGCAAGAAACGAGAAAAGCAAAAACTCGTAAAACTGATATTCTTTGTTTATTTTCTGCTTACTTGCTTCACAATGATGTACACACTTTACCCATGGTGAAGAATGGCACCGACTTCTAAATTGTTAAATTTTGTTATAAGTTAAGGAGGTTACGTTATATAGATTAGATTTTCAAGATTTGATTTATTAGATAGTAAGTATCAGTAATATTTTAAACTTATTAGTGCTAATAGAGTTTTTTGAAGTCGTTATTTTTGTTAAAAAAAAACATTTTATCTCGTGTAGCTTGACGGTGTGAAGTAAATCCAATGTATCCGAAAAATTGGATAGGTACCTAGTTGTTTTATATTAGGTTATTTTTGACCCCAAAATGTCCTCGTGATTTAAATCTCGTTAGAAAGTACATTACATATTTCATAATATTTGTGTAATTGTTAATTGGAACGCCTGCATAAGTATTATTAGGAGTGCAACTATACAGATAGCAAAATGGGTGGTTCAATTATGGTCGGTACCTATTCCATTTTTATTTCCAAAACGTACCGGGGTTCGTGTTGAATTTCGAGAGCGCAATTGCGTAACGACGTTTCGTTGCTGCACCATCGCGCCGCCGTAAAATATTCAGTATCGCCGTCCGCCGTACCGAACGATTTATGACCGCCGGCGTTTTCATAAATACCGGCGTTTCGGCCACCACCCCGCATTGCGGGCCGGCCGTCGTAAATTCTTTATGCGATTTTTGCACTCGCCCCGCGTACGGCGGAGTCGGAACGAATGAACGCCACACCGCTACACATGCCCCGTCCGTACCGAACGGGAGGTGCAGCGATACGTGCGTACCCGTTACGTTACGTGTACGACGGACCGATTTGTTTTTGTGAAATGACCAACCAATAGAGTCACGGGCTGCCACCTCCCACGCAGCTCACGGCGCGTCGCCGGATCGGAGACAAAGAGGACTGTAATTATTTTTTATGGTGCTTATTTGTGCACTTTAGATGAAACATTAAAATTTGTAGAAAAATGAACGAAAGTTCAAAAATCGAATTCACGTCTTCCGATTCGCGCGATTTTTTTCTACTAACAATAAGTTTAAAGACTGTATTTGTTTGCCGTTTGGGGCTCTCATACTCATATCACAGTCATAGATAATCTACCACCGGTTAGTTTTAGTTAGCTATTATAGACAGTTATCTAGGAACTACGTGCTCGTTAGGTAATTTTTATGAAATTTTAAGAGTACATATAAATAATCCAATAATTAATAATAAAACCATATATTTGGTTATACTACGAATAGTTGCTTTTCTAGATTTTCTGGAAGATTTATTCTTTTCAAGCATATAACACGCACGGAACTCAAGGAAAAGTGAGATGCGGCATAGTTAAAGTTATAATATATCATAGGGTACTAAAATGTATGTAATAATATTGTAAAATAATTTTTAACAAAAAAAAACCGGCTTCACTCAGAAAATTAAAAACATTGTTAATACCTATAACATTCAATGATGGCCCTCGATTTCTCTGGGGTGCCATCATCAGATCTGGGTTTCCTTATCATGGTACCACCATTGGGATATCTCCTTTCCAACAAAAAAAGAATCATCAAAATCGGTTCATAAGCGACGAAGTTATCCACGAACACACATTAAAAAAAATATATATACGGTCGAATTGAGAAACCTCCTCCTTTTTTGAAGTCGGTTAAAACACGTTGTTTCAATTTAATACTCATTGTTACACACAGACTATGCGGTCGAACAGTAGTACAGAATAGATATTATCGTCAAATAATTTCAAATTGCAAATTGACTGAATGAATTACGAGAAAACAATTAAAATGTACAAAATTACAGCCGAATTTAGTAAACGACTAGTCTATATCGTAAATGCTAACATTTAAGTTCTCAAAATATACTCTTAGTTATTTCTTAAACGTCTATTATCATTGAATTCAAATTATGTGAATAATAAACAAGAAAGTCACAATAAATAATAAGTTTACGTTAGTAATTTACGGTGGTAGGGCCACGCAGCAGCCTCGGCTCTTGCACGAATGGGCAGGCTCGTCCGGGTAAGTACCACGACCTCACAGAAAACCGGCGTAAAGTGGAAGTATAATACTTTCGCGTTTCGTCTGGTGAGTGAGGTGGGCGGAGCCCAATTTTCAAAAGGTTGTCAACGCATCTGGTACCCTCGGGTGTAGCAGATGTCCATGGGCGGCGGTATTCACTTAATATTAGGTGAACCGTCTGCTCGCTTGGCAACTTTTCACATAAAAAAATATAATAAATTTGGCGTGTTTGGTTCTTTGAACGGAGGAATTTTCGGTTGTCTTATAATTGTTAAAGTCCGTTTTACTCACATATCCGTTACAGACGTTTAATAAGTATCATACGCGCCTTTGGCTCGTCCTAAAACAATATCTGCTGAGAGCCCGTCAATCGTTTGGTTCGATAACGTAGTTCTTTAAATCGCTTGCCTTAAATTTCCACGTCCGTTTATACCGCCTCCAAAACGTATAAAAGCAAGAATGAATGTTATTTCAATGCCAATCGCAGAAACAAGATAAAAAAGTGAAAAGTAAAGTAACATTCCAATACAAACGGTCAGACGGAATATTTTTATTATAATAATATATATTAAATTTATATGTAAATTATGCAGTTTCCTCCACCTCACGACTAAAGCAAAATCTACACTTATTCGTTTATATAAACTTTGTTCTTGATTCCAATTATTATAAACGAAGTGTGTATAATATGTTTATTACTCCATTAACTTTTTTTTTAACATTCTTAACGGACAATCCGAACCTGC